CACGAGTAGGAAACGTCTTAAACTTGCGTCCCCATCCAGCATCGGGTTTCCCCCACGCTATGTTGATACGCCGTTTTGTAACCTTTAAAGTACTGTTCAAAGCGGCGTTTTGTAACATTTTGTAATTACTTTGTGACCACAAAAGAACAGAAATGATTAAATAATGACAAGTAAAAACACATAATAAATTATGTAACAATAACTTTATTCCATCTCGTGTTCCTTGGTGTCTACGCATTGGTAGCATAATCATAATATAACGTAAATAGATGTATAAAAAGATATACATATCAATCACCAATTGTTAATACATTTCTTCCACTGCGTTACTGTTACCGTATGGCCTCTTTTAGACGCCATGTCGGCTATCAAGCACAAGCTGTTGACCGGCGTCTATTTGAAGCAGGTGTCTATAAGGGCCCGGCGTCATTCTGTTTAATCCCGCACAGTGGCAACTCACTACCTGTATATTTTAGAGTAATGCATATTTTCGGTATCACGTGACTGAAACCTTGAGGTCACCTAGTCGTTGGTATAGCCGAGTGTCAGCAACCAACTTTACTGCAGGGCAAAAGAAAGTATACGCTTTGGATTGGACCAACAAACTATAAACGTTTGTTGAAAACGGTCGCCGAAACACAACTATGATACCCGTATCAAATTCATCACCATCGAATACTAGTAACCATTTCTTGTTTGTTTCCGTTTTAGTCACCATCAAACATGGGCGTATTCTTTCTTCTGCCCAGAAGTTTGTATAACGTGCACTTCACAAACATACTGCGTAAATCATACTGTGCGGTGTACAAACAGTGGCCTTTTGTTAATCCGAAAAATTTGCTTTAACCGTCTTTGTTCGGATAAAGGCTTTCTACCATTTGGTGACTGACGTTGACACAGTATGAGGGCCGTATAATGCAATATTATACTCTAATTATATCATCATGCCATGTATCATGTCATATACAATAACTGTGTTAATATACACGTATACATGTACAATCATAAAATACATCTTGATATAAGACTTACTATTTAGAAACAAAGTATTTCCTTTGATGTCAAAGGATTCATACCGTAAAAGCATTCCTATGATGTCACAGGATTCATACCGTAAAAGCATCCCTATGATGTGATAGGATTCATACCGTAAAAGCATTCCTATGTTGTCACAGGATTCATACCGTAAAAGCATTCCTATGATGTCACAGGATTCATACCGTAAAAGCATTCCTATGATGTCACAGGATTCATACCTTTAAAGCACTCCTATGGTGTCACAGGATTCATACCGTAAAAGCATTCCTATGATGTCACAGGATTCATACCGTAAAAGCATTCCTATGATGTCACAGGATTCATACCGTAAAAGCATTCCTATGGTGTCACAGGATTCATACCGTAAAAGCATTCCTATGGTGTCACGGGATTCATACCGTAAAAGCATTCCTATGGTGTCACAGGATTCATACCATAAAAGCATTCTTATGATGTCACAGGATTCATACCGTAAAAGCATTCCTATGATGTCACAGGATTCATACCGTAAAAGCATTCCTATGTCAGGGGATTCATACCGTAAAAGACTTCCTATGATGTCACAGGATTCATACCGTGAAAGCATTCCTATGATGTCACAGGATTCATACCGTAAAAGCATTCCTGTGATGTCACAGGATTTATACCGTAAAAGCATTCCTATGATGTCACAGGATTCATACCGTAAAAGCATCCCTATGATGTCACAGGATTCATACCATAAAAGCATTCCTATGATGTCACAGGATTCATACCGTAAAAGCATTCCTATGGTGTCGCAGGATTCATACCGTAAAAGCATTCCTATGATGTCACAGGATTCAAACCGTAAAAGCATTCCTATGATGTCACAGGATTCATACCGTAAAGCATTCCTATGATGTCACAGGATTCATACCGTAAAAGCATTCCAATGGTGTCACAGGATTTATACCGTAAAAGCATTCCTATGGTGTCACAGGATTCATACCGTAAAAGCATTCCTATGATGTCACATGCTTCATACCGTAAAAGCATTCCTATGATGTCACAGGGTTCATACCGTAAAAGCATTCCTATGATGTCACAGGATTCATACCGTAAAAGCATTCCTATGATGTCACAGGATTCATACCGTAAAAGCATATAGCACGTAACGTAATTTGTGTTTCCATATCGTAAGTAAATTATTCTGCACATCATGCTAGTTGGTATCAATGTCACTCTCTAGATTCATAGGTCCTTATATTTCTCATCGACGAAAGTGTATTATGGTAAGTGAAATATACATCAATAACATACCCGAATACTTGACAAACATCGACCAAAGAGCATTTGAATTGGGGACCAACTATTTGATATTTTAAAAGGAAAAGTCTGTTCTCGAAAATGCTGGAAAAAATAATTTGTACTCAGGTTACAAGAGTTAAAAAGAAATATTAAACACCCCAAAAGGAACAAAAGAAAAAATAGATAAAAATCTCAAAAATTGTTCAGAAAAAGCGGTGGGGTAGCCTAGTGGTTAAAACGTTCGCTCGTCACGCAGAATCCCGGGTTCGATTCCTGATATGGGTACAAGTCCATTTCTGGAGTCTCCCGCCGTGATATTGCTGTATTATTGCTAAAAGCGGCGTAAAATCATACTCACTCACGCACAGTCACTCCTTTAAAACAAGGAGAAAATTTTATGTTTTAATGCAGGGAAACAAAAACTAATCTCTCGAACAAAACACCCAGCCATTCAACCTATTAAATGATCGGTTTCTATACTGCAGTGAGATCTCGCTAAGTCAAGTTCTTGGGACATCGAAAGGCTTCTATAAGAAAAAAAATTGGAACACAATGCCATCAAGATCAAGGAATTATCCACGTAACCAGACTTGTTTGTAGAAGGATCTATGTTCGTGATATGCTTTAAAACTGCAGTGAACAACAAACACGAATGCATAGTATGGTGTCACAATACGAGACACGTGATTGTTATACACACACACACACTCACACACACGCATGCACACACACACACACACACACACACACACACACACACACACGTACGTGTGCTAGATAATTAACTGAACACTTGCAAAATTTGACCTTTAATTGACATCGATGATGTACAAATATGCCATATGATTCAACTTTTTCAATGAGAGGCAAGTTGCTTCTTTTTTTCAAATTATAAAATTTCTCTGTTTGACGGACTTATGAAATATGTGTCACGTGAAATAATGACACAGTTCGTGTCATGTGTGTAGAGGCATGGCTACCTTACCGGCTGGTCTGTCTCCTAGACCCTAGAACATGAATGACAACATGAATCCAACCGATTGCTTCAGCTCTAGGCTGAAATAAAACAATGTTCTGGTCTCCCTATGGATTATATTTTATACTTTGTGGATATATATATATATATTATTCTAATTTTTTTCTTGGACTAAATGTTCGTCTACTGACCTACTACATCTGAAATATCATTGTAATATAGGTAAGGCCACATATTATACTCTTGTTTCAGATTTCAACACTAACTACCGTATTCGACGTAATAAGCGCCCAGGGCGCTCTCTAAAATGAGAAATAGGGGGCTCTTATTAGAATATTATTTTGGTGAAAAAACAACAGAGTTGAAAGATAAATTTCGTGGTTTATGCTGACAGCCTGAAATGTTTATATACGACATATATATTTTTTCCAGAATTTAATTGCCTATAATTAAGGGTGCATATAACACACGAGTGCGTATTATACGCGAATAAATAAATCTTGTGAACATTGATCAATCCGAAGGGAGGCTGATTGGGATTGTTTACTAGTCAATATATTAGCAAATATCGCCGTGGGCGCTTATAAGAGCGGGGCGCTTATTACGTCGAATACGGTATTGGGTTAGCTTTGCATCATGGTCCCATGAAAAATGGTTCATGGTAAATGAGATCTTTGAACAAGTGCTTTTCATGTGTGAAACATAGATATAAAGGATTTGTTCACTCAAATAAACCGTTTTACAAAAACAATTAGAAACAGAATTTATCATATAATGGGCAGGTTTCTCGACAGGATAAAGCCAACGGATAAAAACGATATCCGTTGGGGTCATATGCGGATAGAGATGCAAATATCAAAGGTAAAGTAGGACTACTTTCACTGTTTATAAACAAACATGGCGTCGTCCTCGTCATTCGGCGATCGAGTCAAAATTAACCATCGGGAATCTGGATAAACAACAGGGATAATTGCTATCATTATCAAAAGAACAGTCTAATATACTGAAAATCAGTGTCTAACTGTGACGTAGCTAAGGCATTTTATAAGTTTTGGCTACTTTGGAGGTATAAATTTCGAAACAGTTTTGCGAGGGCGCGAGGCCTTCCCAAGCGGGATCAGTAGCAATATCTGTGCTTGTAGACCTCTGCGACTTGAAACCTTCTCCACAAATTAAAATAGTTTGATTTGGCCGAAATATGTTTGAATTGTTACCTTGTTTGGTTTTGTCGCTGTGTGTACATCTGACTACACTTCTTAACGTTATGACAGGACAGACCGACTGTCAACAACGTCCGACCGTGCCCGTGACGTCTCATAGACTAGGGTTAGAATAGCTTCCCTTTGACAAAGGGCAGTTACTCCAGCGGACAGACCGATGGATTGCAGCGAAAGGCAATTAAAAACAACTGTTGTTTTAAGTATATGTTGCTTCGCCACTGTATAAGAAACAGATTTCAGTTGGAACTATATTGGCTACTCTCACTGTCCGACTGACACATCACCTACCCTGTGACGTAATAAATATTAATGCGCGCATTCCAGGAAAACTCGCAATGTTTCGGTAATGTTTATGAGAGAGGGATAGCGATTTTAAAGCACAGAATTAAAGCATGACATTATATGATAAAGAGGTTATCACGCTTGTGTGTTTGGGGATGGTAAATATCCTGTATTAGGAATAAACACTATGTATTTAGCTCGCCAAGGCTCGCTAAATACAATGTTTATTCCTAATGCAGGATATTTACCATCCCCAAACACACTCGCGTGATAACCTCTATATATGTGCATATACCGGCTAATTATGTTCAATCCTTTTAATGAATACAAGTTCGTCTGTACTTCGATATACGTGTCCATGCAAACGTCTGTGAACCAGTTTCGTTTTATATGTCAAGTGTCAGTTCTGCACGTGGCGCCCGGGATATTGGTGAAACCAGAACACAATGAAGTACGTTGAATGTGTGAGGGATATGTTGACGGTTTGGACGCAACTCACCCTAGCCACCTGCTCCAGAACCAGCTAATGTCCTTCGCTGCCACCACGCTCAGGCAACTTCGTTCTGTCACTCAGAAACATTCTGAGGACCTTGTTTGACAATCCAGTTCTCGTAAACTTCCGCTTTTCCCGTGTGAAGTGTCACCTACAGCCACACCCAGCCACAATGAATTCCGGCACGATCCGAGTAATCACATTAAATTGCCTATCGTAGTATATGATAGTCATGGGAGCTAGTAATGTGGGCACACACGATGCATGAGGAATTGCCCCATCGTTGTTTTGGATGTGATACATTGTCTTCATGAACGTATAGTTAGTAGTGTTTTGATTTGTCGACAGTAAACTACAATCTCCTCGGCACACTCCGGCTGACACAGTATTTGGGGCAATGATCCAAAACCAGCTGATCGCATCAAAATTCACATCCCATTCCATGCGGCGACAGTCACGATCATCCACATCTCCGATGCTATTCTGGGTTAAACTTTGAAAGAAATACAACGATGTGTTTTGGAATGTGTTCCTCTTGCGCCGTGCATGATCAAGCGTCTGTGCCGCAATGTGTTGATACACCACCAGGGACACATCCCGAGCCGACATATGCCGAGTGTGTGGAAAGTGAAAGTGAATTCGGCTGCGATTTTCATTTCGTGTAGTAATCACTTCCTCCACGACATTGAATGCGTAGTAATTGTTAGAAAATGATGCGTAATGTCTTTCCAGTGGTCCTGAATAAAAAAGAGAAAACTTGAGAAAAAAAAAAGAGAGTTTGAAGTAAGGGGGCGGTTTCAGCAATAACACGGCGGGGGACATCAGAAATGGGATTCACCCATTTCACCCATGTTAGAAATCGAATCGTCCTTTCACGAGCATAAACTTCGACCAATAGACAATTGACAATGCCATCATTCCTTAGAACCTCGTGCGTCTGCAATTTCGTTACTCTTAATATTATAATAACATATTATTTATAATCAGTAAAACGTTATAGTTAATTTGAATTAAACCATGGTTCCCTTGGTTTTGACTGGGCATTATGTGGCGGATTGTCAGTTAGACATCACTTGGCAATAGCCGAACTACCTTCTCCTATCGCATCTCTTGATAGAACAATTTCACGATAAACGTGTTTCGCTAGTGGGATTTGCACCTGCGAAGTCCGCACCGAAGGCTAATCTAGTCTTCTGCCAAGGCGACAGGGAAGAAACCTTATGAGTGAGTGAGTGAGTTTGGTTTAACGCCGCTTTTAACAGTATTCCAGTTATATCGCGGCGTGTCAGCTTTATGTGGGAGGAAAGCCCGAAGTGATGCAGGTCTAAGACGTTTACCACTTCGGTGAAACCAACGAGCACGGGTATGGTGCTGACAAACCTAGAAACATAATTGGGGCGAACCGGGATTCGAACCCAAGAAACCTTATGAAATTAACAACAAAATATTTACATTAACTTACTAATTATATAAACTTTTATGAACGGCGAAATATGTTTTATGCAGTACGTATTATGTAATTCTTTGCATTGTGCATACGCGTGATTTGGTAACTTGAAATAACGCGAAAAATATCAAAATTACGAGAAAATAATCGAAGCAATGAGACAAAATTAGAAATATCGAGTTTTTAAAACAAACTTGAACTAACGAGAAATTACGAGAAAAAAATCAAAATAGCTAGAAAATGATTTAAATTACGAAATCATAATCTAAGCAATGAGAAAAAACTCGAAATTTCGGGAAAATAAACAAATAATTGAAATAACGAGAAATTTCGATAAAAAAAATATCTAACCAAAGTGGCACCATTATGCTTTCGTATTCCACGTTAAGATGCAACACGTCGGCAGAACTTACTTCCTCTATACTTGGCCGTGACGTTGACGTGCGATGCATTCACGATCAAATACGCGTCGTGTATGTCGTTGAGCTTGAGTGATGACGGTATTTCGAATTTGAACCTTCTGCCGGAATCTGCAGGACAATAAACGTTACACACTGTGTCATATGATGCATTATCTGTTCCGTGACAACAAATATATATTTACGAATATTGATAATTCTTATAAATTCACATTATTGCCATAATCTTGCCTTTCAGTATTTTGGATGCGTACTTTTCCCAACGTGGTGTGTAAACACTAGAAATTGACTGCTACTGAATTTAATTGTGTATTTACATTAAGCGGCCACCGGCCCACAAACATACGGGACAGTACTACGTACATCTGGACAAAGCGCAGAGTATCAGCTGGTACAGCAAGCAAAACACATTATACTGTTAATGTTGAATTAATTTATACGTATATAATGCAGCTATTGAATTTAATCACAGTGCTCGCTTTCTTCAGGGCTAGAAATATATAGCAATAATCTTTTCAAAACACAAGAGATACAAGTTAACATTTGATGTTTTGTATGGCTGGAAACCGTGCAATAGTATTTGTGAAGAAGAGAACAAAAAACTAGAATAAAAGGGACATACCGGGCAGATTTTATACTCAGATTCACCATAAGGGATTATAGAAAATAGACAAAGTAGTTTCGATCGTGGGATATAGTACATTCATCCTACTATCAATAGGATTAACCGCTACTTCAGGTAATAACGTATTATCATGCTATTAACCACTACTTCAGGTAATAACGTATTCTCATGTTATTAACCGCTACTTCAGGTGATAACGTATTCTCATGTTATTAACCGCTACTTCAGGTGATAACGTATTCTCATGTTATTAACCGCTACTTCAGGTGATAACGTATTCCCATGTTATTAACCGCTACTTCAGGTGATAACGTATTCTCATGTTATTAACCGCTACTTCATGTGATAACGTATTCTCATGTTATTAACCGTTATTTCGGGGAATAACGTATACTCGTGTTAACGGCTATTAGTGACATGAGGATACTTTATTACCTAAATCGGAAATTCTGCATACATGTGTATATGTTTAAAAGAAAGCCATGAAGATTAAACAGCAAGACAGTGTTCAACAATCATTTTAAACAATGAATGCTGGTTGGGTCAAAGATCTAAGAGCTATGTTTGTAAAACCTGGCTAGATGAAACGCCGACCCGAAAGTAGGGGTGTATACTCATAACTTAAAAAGTGGTCTGGGTCAGTTAAATTGTTATGAGTTAAGTTTCAAACACGTTTGTCACATAAAATGGTAAGTCAAAATGTACCCCGTCAATTTGGTTTGCTAATAAAACAAGTGTGTTAAGACGTGATACAAAAGAAGCCACAGAGCTCCTGAAGATAAACGAAGTTAAACTATATATATATTTTGATAAAAACAAAACAATGATAAACAAGACACATAACATTTTGGATGACGTTAAAAGAACATAATTTACGCAGAAAATGTTTGTTGATTTTTTTTATATCAGATCAGTCGAAGGTTAATAAATTGATAATGCACCGACGTTATCAGTGATGAGTGTACGGAGATCCTATATGGTTAAAAGTCCGTGTAATATGTGATATATTCACAATAAATTCAAAACGCCAGAGAATAATAAGTCTCGGTTATCTGCTGAAACAGATTTCACAGGACGTAAGAGGCAGAACATCGTTTTTCAACGTGTGCAATCAAGGATATACATTTCTATCACAAGATCTCTTTTAGGTGAAATTAATGTGTTACTAACGAGTCTTTGTTTATGATGATGCACTGTTAAAGTTGATAAAGTGTCACCATTGATGTCCTTTCTTTTTATTTTGACGTTTGTGTGGATAATGTTAACTCCTAGTCACGTATATAGGTTACATTAGGGCCAGTCACGTGTCGGCAAGGGGGAGGAGACTTATCAGTAGGGGTCAACAGCTATGTCATCCGTCAACGCTAGAAACATAATTGCCGCTTACTCTTAGTCCTGCGACATGATTGTGGAATTTATATTTTTTAAAAGTCACGGCAAGTTTAGATCAAACCAAACCAAGTGGTCTACTTTCGTAGATTCCACAGCAGGGGAGGAAATATTATCTAAAAAATATATATTACAATTTTTTTTAATGAAACCTTTCATAGACTAAGTGTTTATCTACCTTACTTTGTTCCTCATTAATTAACAACGACATGGTATTCATTTTATTACATCTGTCACGACAAACGTAAAAAAATAATAATCAAAGCAAAAAACAAAATAATGTTTATTTAGAACAATAATCCTATACTTCCAAGAAAATAATTATGAACAATCACTACTTTCAGATTCAGTCTGATGATAAAGTTAGTTAAGCATTTTATGATGAACAATGCTGTAACATTCTTCTCAATCATTACTCAGAGCGTCTTTGTTAATAGATAGGAAACTCTTTGTGTTTTTGTAAATACTTATGAAAAAAGGTTTTTCCTTATTTCTGTGATATATTCAGATTCTTTTAGATTTTCCTTTTGATGTAATGAAACCTGTGTAGGAGTGCGAATACCAATAACGCTTTGATTATTTAACAGTTCTTTAAATAAACAAAAACATGTCTATCAATGTAAGACGTTGTAGCATCTGAACTAATATAACAACATAGTAAGCTTATAAACAGAAGTTCATCCATTATGTATGATGATACAGAGGTAACTCTCTGGTATGTTTCCCAATGTGTTTGTTTGTTGTTTAACGCCGCACTCAGCAATGGTTGTTTCCCAATTGGAATAATAAGACACGGCAATGGATAATGCCATGCCCAATTATTCTCAGGCAAAATGCACACACGTAAAATGTGTTTTAGCAAAATAAAATTCCGTCATGTATTTTCCATTTCAAATATTCATAGTTTTTCATTCGTTTACCTCGAACACAACATTGTATGGTAAAATGTAATACGTACTATCTTTTGATCTTGCCCGGAAGGATCGAATAACTGGACTGCGAGCGTACATCTCCCATGACGTCATGTGACTACGCAACATCTCCTGCTTCAGATCCCCGTACAAAAGATGCATAAATGCTGGCACTCTGTCTTCTGATGGTCGATGGCTCAAAGACACATCGACCTCTGTCAACAGATTCTCAATGGTGGACTCCCGTAAAGCACCGCCGTTGAAAGGCATCGACACATAGAGGTATGCATTCAATAATAATATCCAATTCATGATGTTGCCTCCGTTAAAAGTGCTCACTCACACAATCCGATGTCCGTCAACCGCTTGTAAAAAGCATCTGGTAGTTGATTGCCGCTCACGTAGATGTCACGTGTTCTAGTTTAGCGCAAGCGCAGAAATACTTTGGTGAGGATATAGACATATAATATCTCAGCAATGCAGCTGTGATACAGTGGAAGTAACATCCTATGTTATCATTATAATAGTCAACAGCAGACTGTATATATATAAAATCCTTCACTCTTAAAGGTGGTGAGGTGAAACGGAGTTTAACGTCACGTTCAAGATTATTACACATAGATAGCGACGTTCATGATCATGTACGTTGTGTGTGTGTGTGTGTGTGTGTGTGTGTGTGTGTGTGTGTGTGTGTGACACCGAGATGCCCTGCACCGGGCAGGGTAACAACAAGTACCATCTTTTTCATGTATTTTGGTTTGACGCGGCCGGGGATCGAACCCACGATCTGAACTGCACAACTACGCGTCGTGGATGCCAAGGAGAGACTCGCTTGAGCAGAAAGCGCTCGCCTATAAATGAATTAAATCTACTTTTTTTTAAATATTTTGTATCTACACATCACTGGAGTGACCCGTTTTCACTTGCGATACACTATTGTAATCAAAACAATGATTTGGTATCATCACTTTATTATATTGATTCATAAATACATGCTTATGATATAGCCGGTTACAGTTGGAATAGTACAACGGATTATGAAAGTGATTTTTTCGCTTTTATTTACGTCATTGACCTTTAACATAACACGGGTATTATCAGCATTCTCATGGGAATAGAGTGTGAGATATGATAATACCGATTTACCTTAATTGCAAGATTAATGCCTGTTGTGGTAAATTGCTGGGGGTGACATTTCCGTATTTTATTTTTCCCTCTTACCGAAAACGTCCATATACACTTCTCATTCCAATACAAACACAGTTATTCCCAATCAATTCAGAAAATAATTTTGATTTAGTTCAAATTAAAGTTAGAAATGTTACTAATCATTTCTTGGAATAAACTTTAAGTACCTACGGTGAAGTACTTACTCGGATATTAAAAGACCTTGTTGCTGATTGTGGACCTCTGAAACGCTAATTGTTTACTCCGCGTTTTAAAGGGGAAGAGGGGTATGCTGCACAGTCTGGTGTCATGCCCTGTTCTTGACATTGAAGTTATTCCATGTATGAAATCAAGACATTTTACCTGAACAATAAGGCTAATCATTAACTGGTAGATCGATTTATCACGCCGAACTGGCTTCCACAGGAGACCTCCTGGGAGATATCGCCACAATGAAATTGCATCACAATGCTTTGCAGACCATTGTGACATCATCGCCTACCATGTCGTCACAATCAAATGACCTCTCTACCACTGAAGCCACTGAACCTGGTGACTTAACTGTACTTTTTACACTCATAACAGGGGCCGTCTGGTAGCCTAGTGGTTAAAGCGTTCGCTCGCCACGCCGAAAATCTGGGTTCTATTCCCGACATGGGTACATTGTGTCAAGCCCATTTCTGGTGTCCCCCGCCGTGATATTGCTGGAATATAGCTAAAGGCGTCGTAAAACCTTACTCACTCACTACATTCAAGACACTGGCTATTACTGTCTACAAACTGAAAAAAATAAAGAATACATATCCTCAGTGTTTTAAACTTTCATCGACTCGTGTTGATATGTTTGTTATCAAAAGACACCAGGATGAGATGCTCTATAGACATACTAGAATTGTACTAACCGACAACCCTATAAAGGGGTGATTGAGGTGAATGTGACGTATTATTTTGCGATGATAGAATTAGAAAACGGCACTATAAAAAAGAGGTTTCCGCACTCGCGTGATTATCTATATTTGCACTTATCCCCGTCATAAAGTACTGGAGTGTTCCCTGTGTGATCGCTGCGGCAATATAGAGAGTGTACACATTGAGGGCATCAGTGGAGCACATGGAGAATAGCTGAAAGAATAGTTTAAAAAAATAGAAACATGTTATAATTGTGTTAAACACATTGATTGTACATGAAGCTTTCAGAATGTAGAGGTCGAGACCAGTACGAAATCTGTACTGGACCGGAATACGGCAGTGTAGGCTAAACGAGATTAAACCAGACTAGGACCAGTGTTGGCCCAGTACCAAACACATGGTTTGAACAGTATTCCAGTTACATCAAGGCGTGTCGGCTTAATGAGGGAGGAAAGCCCGAAGTGGTGCAGGTCTTAGACGTTTACCACTTTGGTGAAACCCACGAGCACGGGTATGGTGCTGACAAACCTAGAATCATAACCGGGGCGAACCGGGATTCAAACCTCGGATCATAGGTTTCTGGCGTACCTGAAGGGACGCAACTCTGCAAAGTGAATTACGACGCCTTAGCGCCACCGTGCCCCCTCAATATTGGGCCAGTATTGGTACAATGTAGGCAGGTGTTTATAAACATGGGATCGCTCCTGTCTATTGGCTACGAGTGACAACCGGGATCTAGGCAAATTATTGGGATAATTGTTATAATTATTATAATAATAGTCTAAGATACCAAAAATCAACTAACTGGGGCACAGCTGATACCTTTTATAAGTGTAGGCAACACTGGAGACAAACGAAGTATTTTAGCGAGGATGGTGTGGATATATGTTTCCATTCCTGTGCTTGGAGTCTTTTCCCGAAATAACAATAATTGGATATGACCTACTGAAGTCCGAAATTTGACTTTGTTTCATTTGTCGATGTGTCGGACATGTGACTGTATAAAGTAACTTGGCATCTCGTAGACTAGAGTAGCTTCCCTTTAATAAAGGGCAGTTACTCCAGCGGTCGGATGTATTGATTGCACCGAAAGACGATCACTGACAAAGCTATTGGTGTGATTTTAAAAATACCTTTAAAATCATATAAACTAGTTTAGCCAGTGTTTCTGTTGGAATTATTTTATCTGTTGTCATAATTCGACTAAGCAGTCACTGAGCTTGTAAGGTAATATGTTAATGTATTTGTGTCGCCCCTTTCCGTAACCTGCTTGGCCCGGACCTGCACAGTTGGTCACAAATGATATTAGTGTGCACATTACAGGATAACTTGCAATGTCTTTCGTAAACTTGGTGAGATATTTTTTCGACGAATTTTTTTTAAGAATGGCATTACATGATAACGATGTTGTACACACTTAGTGATAACATCTATCTATATTTACGTTTGTCGGTTAAATCCCGGCGATAATGTACTGGAGTAAACCGACGGAGAACACATGGACTGGGCAAGGTGTATTAAAGCGACATTGTCGAACACGCATCCTAAAAAATTATGATTAACAACAAGAAAATCTAAATACCATGCTGTCATGTTTATGAGACCCATGAAGATCCGAGGTATGTGTTTTTGTGTATTTTTTGTGGCAAGGCAATTATTATTTTCCCAACAGCCTGAAGCATATTCATTTTTTTTTCAAGTATTTTCGGTGACAATATACGGTAAAATCTCAGAGTTATCAGTGTTATGGGAAAGCAGTGTATACATTAATATGCTGTTGTAGTAAACACCATTTCATTCAAGCCATGTTCCACCCAGAAAGTCCGGTGGAATGTGAGCGTCTGACGTGTGAGAGGACAAGGGCAGTTGAAACTCAAAGTACACGACCAGCTTGTCAACTCTGGAATGATTGGCTTCTTTATATGCGAAATGGGGCTGAACACTGTGACGCTGAATGTATTAGCCGACTTTGCCATCATTGAATGCACGTTTAGTTTAAGGTGAGGTGAGGCGAAATAGTGTTTACTGCTGTGTGGCGTCGGGCAACAAACGCTTTCCCTTCAATGCAAATTGTGTGAGTGGCGGGCGCTACCTGTAGAGCAGGACATGCTCATTCTATTGGCGAGCACCTGGTGTCATCAATGATTTTCAGAGCTTCATTCATACAATTTCCATGGCTATTTTGCCTTTTAGGCCCAATGACATTTGTTTCGGTGTTTAATCGAAACTGGTTATTATCTCGCATTGACATTTTATATTTAAGGTCGCATCAAGATTATTTGCGCTTATATAGCGATGTGTATGCTCGTGTGTGGCTGTTTGTAGGAAGTATGAGCCAATTGAGATAAAATGCAACAATTTAACATGGATACCCCTCACAGTACATTGACTCCCAGCCGACCAATCCTTATTTAACAACTTTAACTTTATGGTATTCGCGTTTCTTTTGTCGGTGAGTATATATACCATGCATGTAGTTCAAACTTGTTTAGTGTTCAATGCTGACACTAAATAATGTAAACGTAACGCGTTATATGAATGGATCACTGAAAATGACACCAGATATTCGCGAAAAGGGTAAGCATTTCCTACCCTACTAGTAGCACCCGCCACACTCACAATTTGCAAAAAAAATGTAATTGTTTGTTTTTTGCCGCACATAAGTACTCATGTGATACGACGGTGGCCTGTAAAACAAACTTGTCTTGACCAGATAATCAAGTTGACCAGACAATCCAGAGACACGATAGCGCGTTTACTGATTTTGTTGAAACTAAAAACTATGTTAATTTTGAAAAAAACGTCTACATTGTACAAGTGCAGAGATTGTAAATTTACGTGTAAATAAATTGGTGTTAAGTTATTTACATGTACACGCCTTATTTCTCTTTTACAAAATATGTCAAATATTTCACCAATCTTGTTTTTCGAAAACAAGAGGTAAGTGCCATGACCTTTAAATTGCGTCTTGAGAAGAGTTTTCCCATTTTTTCTTATATACATGACATAGGTATGTCAAAGATGTACATTCCTATACCGTTATAAACGTTGAAGAAGGCAAGGCTGAAAACAACAGAAGAGCGTGTGAAATGATACATCTTAAACTTGCCTTTTTTCTAAAACACCTTACTCAAAAAGGTGAAGAATCCTATTATAGATTCCATCCTCTATTAGGTCGACAAATAAACGTGAACCTAATTTTGAACTAGCGAGATTCCGTTCAGTTGAAACAGGCTCTCCTTTGTAAAACGTATGTGTAACTGAGTATTGACAACCTCGTTGTCCATCGTCCTTCTGTCGTCGATGTAACT